GAAAAGTGATTAGCGAGAAGGAGAAGAAAGCTCCGCTTTAAAATTAAAAAGTGATTGGATTAATTTTACAGGAGAAAACAACCAGCGTGGTCTGGCTTTCAGATCACTAGCCCGCCACTCTACACAAACACACACCAGATTAACTGCGATAACCAAGTTATCCCGCCGTAAAGCAACTTTCCAAGCGGCTGTCTTTAGCGCACCGTGATATCTCCAAGCACGTGGGATTGTCTATTGTGAGGAAGGTTCGCTGAGTCGACAACCCCACTTGGAAACCGCTCCGGAGACCGTTAACTCCCTGGGTTAAGCTCTAAGCAATTTTAATATCCCGAAAGGTTGACAGGCAGTTAATCCAAAACCACGATGTCTTTAATTTCTACATGTGCAATCTTTTAGCGGTTTATCTGTTAGTGCCTTAACGGTAACCTATGGGATACAGTCTTGCCTCTCTGTCAAACGTCCGCAGCTAAGCCACTTATTACAATCTGATTAGGATTTTAATTCTTAATTTCAAACCCATATGCACTCCTACAGATGAAAAATAGGATATTCAGAAGCCTGTGCATTTCCCGTCTATCCACGCAGTTGGAACTTTTAAAAACTTTTTTAGTAAGAGTTTACTAAGCGAAGTCTAATAAAGTTGAAAAATAGATCACATGTTCCTATCCGCCATTTGATGGCGTATGTGATTGGAAAAACGAAATTTTCAACGCTGGAAATGATTATCATGCTTTTACTGAACTGATATTCAGAGCACGGACACAAGGTTACCTAAACCCAGCTGTTGTTAGGCTTTCGGAAGTAGTCGAAGCCGTCGTCACACAAACTGAGTCCAACGTAACTGATTTTAATGTGTATAGTTATTAATCGAATATCTTCCAAAGCCTCTTGTGTTGTCACTGAATATAATTTCTCTCCCCGCATCGCCTTCGGAAGCAGATTTGTCATTTGTACCATGGTACTAAATGACTAATCGCATCAGCGTAGACTTTTCGTTTACGGGCACATGCTTGTGACGGTGACCCAAACTTGCATCATCCATAGATTGCGTCGTTTTTGGCTAATAGGACACGTGTCTGCACGTGCAATATTGCCTTAAGGCAGAAAATATCTTATGTCGCGTCCTGCGTGTATCACTACGGCCTGAACAATTTGGTTCCATGAACCCTTCATGTTACCAAACTAAAAATAAAACAACCTTAAAACAGACTCTTTTGACTTCGATGACCAAATGCAGGGGAGAGAGGACAATTTTTCACGGAGTCCACACTTCCTGACCTCGACGATGTGACGGAGATACAAATCCGTTGGAAACCCTTCACGGGGGTACATTTGATGAACTTGACAGAGGCTAGTATCCCGAGTGGTCGTAATATTTTGTGGATGTATCGTAAACCACCGCCTCACTGGGATGGTCTCCGCAGGGCTTTCTTGCACCTTTCGTGAGAGACTGAATATGGCGTTTAACCACGTTTCAAGGACATTTCTGTTTTGTGTATGTGCACTCGTCTTAATGTTAGAGGACCTCCTGTTCTGGCTGACGATCCTGTGAATGCGCCTATAACGCGGACCGCAACAATAGTCTTACTTATCACCACTAGCTGCCGCTCCTGGCAGAATCAACCTTTGAATAAATTGAAAGAAGAGTCTTTGCATAGTGGTACTTGAGTCGTTGAAGGATAATCTTTCTCAAGGGGATATCGCAGAGTTCAAAAAATCCCCCAACTTTCCCCCTCCAGCCAAAGTACTTAATCTTCGAAAGTGAAAATTCGTCGATTTCCATCTATACTCTTCCCACATCGATGAGTCTTGTCAATATGGGCAACACTGTCGAAAGCAGAGTAAAATGTGCTATTCTGCAGAACTGAATCATACAACTGAGTCATACAATTGATGTCTGTTTTGTGATAGGTTTGTTTTAGGGCCACTCAGGGTTTATATACCTATAACGTTTAGTGTGTATAAAATACCAGTAATCAAAGCAAGTATTGTGTTGGTTGTCTCTGAAATGTGGGCCGATCGAATCAAGCAATTTATTAAGGGAAACGTTTTAGGGGAACCTAAGCAGCTTCTGGTATTTCACCATCGGGCTACAAAGCAAAATAGTAAACGTCTTACAAGCGGACTTTAGAGAACTACAGACAACAATCTTTACTGTAGTTAAGAAAGTTCAATCATCGCGCCGACTACCACCCCGCTTGGGGTCTATTATTTCGGCGAAAATGTTCTTTGCGTACTTCAAAATTTGTGGTCCAACGTGGAATTGCTCGCCAAGCTAGGAAAGCTACGAGACTCCCGTTTCGTGATTTGTATGCAATTTAACGCTTTCGGTTAAACAAATTTTCCTGAAAAAAACATCTCGAGTGGTTTAGACTACTCTAACTGAAGGGGCGTTATTAAAGCTGCCCAAATCACAGAAAATGCTTTCTACGTAACCTAGTTTCCTCTTTAACTGCTACGAAATCAGTTAAACGGTACAGATACTAAGGCAAATGATATTATATGCAGTAGAGGAGAACTCAGGAGCGGGTTGATCATATGTGTTTTTTGTGAAAGTTATCTGTCGGAGTGTTGAGATTCTGGGGCTATAACGCTAGACCTATATTAGAATAACTTCACTTACTTGCGGCAACTTGTTGACTATGTTGAGTTGGCTCGTGCATGTGCAACTTGTACATTTCAATATTTTCCAATTTGCAAAAAGCGAAATGACAATGCTTTAGTGCTGCGGGGAACTTCCTGTCGTGCAAACCGTGATATCGTCTACAGTTACTTAGAACTGTTCTAAAAACGCCTTTAGGTTCCAGTTAATGGTTCTAATTTTCTCAGACTTAATTTATTTTGGAAGTCCGGATACTTGCCCTAGCCTTGACAGCAGATGACAGTTCGCAGTCGCTTTGATAACGGTCACTGTAGTGCAGTCGCAACAGACGTCTCGCCGGAGGAGTCCGGAGGTACAGAGACACACAATTTCGTTGAGTTTTACCTCCAGTGTGAAAGTCGCCGACTTAGCAAGTTAATCAGGGGGCGTTTGCATGTTTTCATGGCCTGACTCATCTCCCAGTTGCCGTTCAACGAGTTCTGGGGAAACCAACACA